GTGGGAAGGAGACAAGATGAGCAACTACAGGAAAATTTTTATCCAGAAAGGCAAATTGAAATATTCACTAAACAAATTGAGAAAGTAATCACGGAGGATAATAAGACAGTGTGGACATACACGAATCTAATTAGACTCATTGAGCTAGAGCTTGCTAAGACGCGTGACAAGTCACCCGGAAAAGAAGACACAAACCCAAAAGTTGGTGGGATGAGGAAGTTAAGAGAGCAATAGCAAAACGTCAGGAAGCCTCTAGGGAACACAGACATGCTAAGCAGCGGGGGGGAACCGACAGATGATGTTGAAAGAAAATGGGCAACCTTTCTAAGCAGTAGATGGGATGCATCCCTTCTGATCAATGAAAAGATTAGAAGGAAGGGAGCTCAGTGGCTGGAAGAAGTACATAAAAAAGATAGAAAGGCAGCTGCAAAATTTTGGAACCATCTGAACTCCCTAAGAAATGAGACGAGCTTAGAGCAGAGTTTTATAGCTACAGCCCAAGGTGCTAGGCTAGAAGGGGACGAAGCCATTGAATATATAAGAACAAGGGTGACAGAAAAATTTCAACAAAGAAGTACTTTATGCTCCACAATAGACAAGGACGAATCAAGTGGTGCAATGGCTCCATGTTCACAACAAGAGTGGGAAAGGGCTGAGAAAAGGGTTCCTAGTAGTACATCAACAGGCCCAGATGGCATTCTAATTAGGCTGATAAAGAGATTAGGTCCGAAGTCTAAGCAGGCTTTGAGAGAGGCAGTGAGTACAATAATAATCGATGGTGAAGTTCCCGATGGATGGAAACTTAGCAGGATGAGCGTGATCTATAATGGAAATGGGGACAAAGCTGACATAAACAACTACCGTCCTATAACAGTGACATCAGTGGTCTACAGGCTGGCGATGCAGATTATAAAGGAAAGACTGCAGGCGTGGATAGAGGATAAGGGGGTGCTGGGAGAACTGCAGAATGGGTTTCGGAAACACAGGATGTTGGAAGACAATCTGTTCTTACTGACGCAGTGCATCGAAATAGCAGAAAAGGAACACAGGCCCCTGTGGCTAGCATTTTTGGATATCAACGGAGCGTACGATAGCGTGGTTCAAGAGGAAATGTGGGGAATACTGGACACACCAGGCGTGGAACATGTAGTCACTAATCTTTTAAAGGGTATCTATAAAGGTAACAAGGTAGTTATAAAGTGGGAAAAACAGGTATCCAAACCTGCAGAGGTAAAACGGGGGCTTAGGCAGGGATGCCCTCTGTCACCCTTATTATTCATGATGTACCTACAAGAATTAGAGGCAAAATTAGAGGGAAGTGGAGTGGGCTTCAACCTCTCTTTAGTCAAACAAGGAAAACTTATTGATCAGGCACTACCAGCGTTAATGTACGCAGATGATGTAGTGCTAATGGCCAACAACAAGGAAGATTTGCAGAGATCGATGGACATCTGCGGTAATGAGGGAGGTAGGTTAGATTTTAGATTCATTTAGGAAAAATCAGCAGTCATGATTTTCAATGACAACCAAGGTAGTGAGCTTAGAATACAGGAGGACACGCTAGAGATAACAGATAAATACAAATATCTGGGCGTGTGAATAAGCAATGGGACTGAGTATCTGGGGGAACACGAAATATACGTGACGACTAAAGGTAACAGGAATGCAGCAGTCATGAAAAATTGGGCACTGTGGAATTACAATAGGTATAATGTTGTGAGAGGAATATGGAAAGGGGTCATGGTTCCTGGGCTGACGTTCGGCAATGCGGTCTTGTGCTTGAGATCAGAAGTTCAAGCAAGATTAGAAATTAAGCAACGTGGAATAGGTAGGCTTGCTTTAGGAGCTCACGGGAATACACCAAATCAGGGAGTACAAGGTGATATGGGATGGACATCATTTGAGGGCAGGGAAGCTAGCAGCAAGATAAAATTTGAGAAGCGATTGAGAGAAATGGGGGAAGAGCGTTGGGCAAGGAAGGTTTTCAGCTACTTGTACATGAAGAATGTCGATACAGAATGGAGGAAGCGAACCAGGAAGTTGACTGGTAAATACTTAGAAAACAGCAGGTGGCCAAACCAAAAAGAACTATCGGTTAAGAAGAAAGTGAAGGAAACGGAGACTGACATGTGAAGAATGGGCATGATTAAGAAGTCCGCACTAAAGATCTATCGAACTTTTAAGCAGGAAATTGCCAAGGAAAGGATCTATGATAATACTCGGGGTAGTTCTCTACTGTTTGAGGCAAGGACGGGAGTACTCCGAACCAAGACATATCGGGCCAAATACGAAGGGGTAGACACAGTATGCAGTGCGTGTGGAGAGGAAGAAGAAACTGCCGAACACTTGATAATGTTCTGTAAAGGGCTTCACCCTATAGTTCAGGATGATGGCGCAGAGTTTTTCAAAGCACTGATGTTCAGGGACCGGGAGGGCAAAATAAACTTTAAGCGGGTAGACTTAACTAGAAGGAGGTTATCTGATTGGTGGCTAAAGTCAAGGCACGAGTGAAAATTAAACTCTTCACTGCAAAGTACGAATCCTAGAACTCACTTTAAAAAAAATAAATATAGTTTTTGGTTCACTAGGCATTACGGCTTGGTGGCGCTAGTCACCGCCCGATCTAAAGGGTACAGCCATATCCATCCATCCATCGTTGATGGGTGCGACTGTTCTCACAACAAATCCGTGCAGGGCGGGGCCTCGCCGCGATGACGTAGCCACCATTTTCTTTTTTTTCTCTCTGTCTCTCTCTATCTCCGTTTGACGGCGCGGTACGCGGTCGCTGTGGTGGCGTGCACTCCACGTGAGCGATAAGCGTGCACTGTCTTGTTAAGTGGCCGGAATATCGGAACGCAAGCCTCCTGACCGACAGAAGGTGATCGAAAAGTACCTCCAAGGATTACGTCATTACGACGACCACTCTCATGGCTACCTGAAGTCAGACGAAGAGCTAAAGTTTTTTGAGAGGTCCCTGGCTGCCGTCAACGAGAGGTATGCTGCGCGGACATCAAGAGACCTGAGCAAGTCGTCTAAATGTGAGGATGTCTCGATTGCTTCTTAATGTATTGATCTGCGCGCAGATCTAGCATTGAAACACGCAGTAGTAATTTAAACCAGCTAGGTACACGGCAGGACAGGCTTCTTCTCAGTTGCGGTTATTGGTTTTCGCCTTTTTGAAGTTAGGGTTAGGTATCATTGTTTTCGTTACTGGTTCACAGTTCCCCTGGAACCGATTCATTTCGGTGTGAGTGAAGTATTGTTTGGATTACCGGGACATGACCCGATCTTCAGAGATTCTATAAACGTTATTGGAGCTGTAATTGGCGCCTTGTCTGTGTCTGCGTGTTTCTTTGGTCCCCGTTGCTTAGCGCCCCAAATTATTCAGTTGTAACTGAACTGTATTTTTTCGGTTTTAGTCATGATTAGCACCGCGCTAGCAAGCTAATTGTGACACGGCCGTGCGTGCCATCCGTGGTCCTCCAGGAAGTGTGAATTAGACGTCTAGAGCAAGGCGGGCCTGATGTTGAACGCTGTATATGAGAAGCTGAAGGGTCAGGGTCGAGATTTTTTGCCCAATTATATTAAAATCCCAAGGCCCAACCAAACTGTAACGTGTTGGTGCTGCTTGTAAGTTGTAACTTAAAAACCTCATAAAAAGTCTGGGTAATTAATAATAATAATAATAATAATAATTATATTTATCATTCTAGTTGACGAAAGCAGGATTTCTTGCCAGAGGCAGCGCATCTTAAAGTTTTTTGCTGCCATTACACAAAAACTAAAACAAGATTGGATATTGCCCTCTGCCATGCATAAAACTAGGTGCCTTCATTAAATCATATTTATTGTTTATTTTCAGCCAATGTTGTCTTCTCCATAATCCACTACGTATCTCGAATCTCTCTGGACAATGTGCCGTTCTGAGTTGTCAAGGAAACCGTCAAAGTGTGCATAATTGGAACGGAGTACTACAAGAAAACTCAGGAGAAAAAAAAAGAATAGGTATGTTACATGGTGATGCACTTCCAAAAGTTTCCATCTCATGCACATATCTAGCAGTCTTCCAGTTCAAAGATTGTGTGTAGGCAGTGTAAAGAAGATTTACTTTAAGGCGGCGGTCTCACTCCGGCGGCACGAGCACATCGTTTTTGTCACTTTTCCAACTGACGTGGCGGCTGTTCTTCTTGTCTTATATAGTTGGTTTATGTGTCATTGAAAAGCTTAATTTTTGTACATTTTAAACATATCTATTAAAAATAAGTAAGCTTTTAGCATTTGGGTAGGAAGAGCCAAGAATAAGCGCTAGTTACATGGTTTGTCTGACTGTGTGTCAGCAGTGACCATTTTCTGAAAAATCTGCTGCAGTTACAGCACTGTTCTTTGCGCAGAACATTTAAGACATATTTATCTATTACCTAAGTAACGACAACTGCCTCCTCTCCCGACCCTCTCTCACACACAGCCGGTGGCTGCCACCATGTGCTTCCTAACAAGGAAGACTTCCAAAGCCACGTACGTATAAGTAAATTAGCCACGCGCCTATCAGTGAACATTGTGCGAACGCGACGCGCCTTTCCCCTCCAGCTAGTCCCCCGTCAATAGTGAGCGAGGAACGCGTTTTACCAGGTACCAAGAAGGGGTGCCCGAGGCGACACCACTAACATCTGAATAGTCTAGATGGCCTCGCACGAGGGCAGGAGATGTGGAATAACAGCCACTATGCTAGCCTGAAGGTGCGAGGCAGCATGACGAGGGGGGAGGCGGACTGAGTGAGGATAAGGACGGACACAAAAATGCGTGCTCAGCACGGAAGGCGACAGTGCTGTAGTAGCGTGAGACACTAGAGATAGAACGCATTTCTGCCGCATCCTCTGGTGTCCACTGCTCGCGTAGAGGGCTTCTTTAGAGTTTGCTTAGCGTGCGCTGCGAGTGCGTGTGGGAGTACCTGCAGCACAAGTGCCTTGCCGGGCTTCACATGAGTCGTGACAAATCATAAGGATAGAGCTTCACGGAAGAGGAAGAGAGCCGCCATCGCGGCATGTCGAGCACGGGCAGCAGCTGCATTTTCACACCATTCAAGGTAAGACCATTTCGATTACTGTGGTTTCTTTTGATAATAAAAGCGCGAAGCTACAGCAGCAAAAAGAAAAAAAAACATTATAGAAGCCTATTCATGATACGGTGGCGAGCTCGTTTTGTACCCCAGACGCAATGTGGGCTCCGTAAAGGAAGGAAGGAAGCAGAAGGCAAATTGTCTCGTTGTGGGCGACATTCTTTCTATGATCAGCTTTACGTTGCCAGCTACACTGCTATACCTTACTCTATTTTATGTTGGCATGTTAGTTTTGGCGGCTATATATGTACAAAGACAAATTCGTTAGAACTTCTGTTTTACGGCTTGAGGTGAACAAAACTGTCCAATGCTATATCCCGTACTTTGTCGCTGCAGCGCCTATAGGTGCGTGTACAGGACGCTGGACACGCAGTCACTCCTAGATAATGCGCGCCCGTGAGAAGAAAGTGCTAAGATCTGCGGACGTGTGGTGTCTATAAAAAACCTTGTTTCTTTGTGTATCTGAAATGTCGCTGCCGTGTATCAAAAGGCTAAGGGTAGGTGCTTCTTAGCGCTGTGACGAGAGGTCTGGGCGAATCAGGACCTACAGCACGCTGTGTGTACGTCACAACGCTCCTGCTTGCGTGTCTATCTGCTTGAGCGCCTTTTATTTGTCGTGACCTTGTGCTCCGTCTATCTTTCTGACCTGCACTTGTCCGATCGAACAGCATATTTGCGGGCGGAACATTGAGCAGTGGTGGCAAAGCCCGGCATTTTTGTCTGATGCTGCTTTTTTCGCAAGCACGCGGCGTGCTTGAGAGCTGAGCACTGTAACTGAGAAAGTGTTCTATAAAAGCTAGACTGTGCTCAAAGTAAAAAAAAAGATGCGAGATGCACCCAATCAAATCATTCTGTACACACGAGCGCTTATCCCACAGCGCATGGACACGCGCGCACACAGCGTGTCACATGACCTATCCGCCCAACCATCCTCTCAAAACGCTATGACGCACTTGTCAATCCGTAATGGTTCATATTTTATCCCGGCCACCCTTTTCTACCGTAAATATGCTTTTTTGGAAACAAAACTATTTAATTTATATATTGATATATTGATTGATTGATTGATTGATTGATTAGGTTCAAGGAAGGCAGCCCAAACACCTGTATCATCTATCTTGCCTTTTATCGACATTCAAGCAACCCATAGTAGACGACTGTCGGGAGAAATTCTTTTCAGTAATTATCCCGACTGAGAAAAGGACTCGCCCTTTTATTTTGAGTTTTGCATCGGTCCCTCACCACACCAGCTTATTATTCATGCCAGCTTTGGAAGTGTAGTTGCTACGATCCCTGTGCATCTGGTGCTAGCTCACTAACCACATGATGTACTTTCCTGTAAAATTTTCAGGAAGGCGAATTCGCCGGAGAGCAACAGAGAGCAACGCCAAAGCGCCGCCTGTACGCCATGCTTGGACGACAGTGGTTTTGCCAGAGAGGATGACGCAACGTCTGAATACTGGGACAATTTCGGCATCGTCGAGGAGTCGCTGCCGGGCCTGAGTCTGGAGACAAGCGTCACAACTCAGCCAGAGGAGCCGATCATCACCGGAAGACGAGTTGTGTCGCTGGCCCATTTCGTGAACGCTGTTCGTAGTCTCGACGACCACAGCTGTCCTAAGCTGACTGGACGTTTTGCACTCGTGAAAGAACGGAGAGTGGGGCTCTGGTCGGAGCTCACTTTTACCTGCAGTGAATGTCAGGAAATCAGAAAGTTGACGACTGACCCCGTCACAGAACCAACGTCCCTCACTGACAAAGCAAACGTAGGAGTCAATGATGCTGCTGTTTGGGCATTCATGAGTATCGGATCGGGCCACTCGCAGTTCGAGGAAGCAATGGCAGTCATGGAAATTCCTGCTATGAGCAAAGGGGCTTTTCTACGCCGGGAGGAGTCCCTGGGAAAGGTAAATAAGCTGATAAATATTTATTTTCTCTTTCTGAAGACGATGAAGGATGTGCTTTATTTTTAGTAAAATTCACGTGAAGTGACAGTGGCACGTGCATGGCAAGCGTTTTGAACGGGAGTACGGCACGATGAGAATTTCTCTGCAACATTTCGTCGTATACAATGAAACGATTGATCGTGAGATGTCAGGATTACAAGTGAGCCAGTAATCGTCCTGTCTAGGAGCTCACTCCCGCATTGACGCAATTACAAAGTGCGGCATTGCTATTGTGAAACAATTTCGACGTTGTAATCTGCTATAATTTTTGTTTTGTTGCAGTGCTGGAAAACCGTCCTTTTTGACCAAATGATAAAGCCGGAAAAGAAGAAAATAAACTCGCGGAAGAAGCTGGGGCTTTCTGTGAGGATGGCATAACCCCCTATATTACAGTGATTGTCGATGGTGGGTGGTCACACCGCAGTCATGGACACCGGTATTCCGCCAACTCTGGTGTCGCTGTGATTACAGGAGAACGCACGAAGAAGCTCCTCAACCTAGGGGTACGAAACAAGCTGTGCAGTACCTGTGAGCACTATTCTAGGACGGGAAAGGGCAAGAAAGACCATGTGTGCTACAAGAATTGGAACCAAAGCTCAGGGCAATGGAGTCGGATATTATCGTTGAGGCTTCCAGAGAAGCGTGGAAATGCATGGTGTGGAATACCGGACATTCATAGGAGACGGGGATTCGTCCGTTTTACATCAGATACTCACGAAAGTGCAGTACGGGCGCTTTGTAAAAAGAGGGAATGTGCAAACCATGTTGTGAAATGTTACACCACTCGGCTCTATGGCATAGCCAAAGAAACAAAGGGCAGTTCAGCTTTCCTAAGTGGCCCTAGGATTAAGCGGTTAAAGAATGGTGCACGGAAGGCCATAAAGCACTACGCAAACATTCTTAGAGATGTACAGGGTACTGCACAAAAGCAGCGTGCCCAGAAAGCCGACCTTACGCGCCAGCTTGCGGGTGACCTAATAAATGGCCCAAAACATGTTTTTGGTTGCCACGACAGTTGCAAAGACTACTTCTGTGATGGCACCAAAGGTGACAACATTTATGATGGCATGCCTAAGGTGCTACAAATGAAAATAGTTACCGCTGCCAATATAATTGCCGAAAAAGCTGACCGTCTTGTGACAGATGATACAAGTAATCTTGCCGAGGCAGTCATGGCACTGGTAGCCAAACTATCTGGTGGTAAACAGATCAACAGATGTCAAAAGGGCTCTTATGAACACCGCTGTTATGGAGCTGGGCTCAGCTTTCAGCTGGGGCCACAGTGGCACTGCACCACATCCAAGGCTGTAACCTGCAAGAGCCCCGCAGCCGTCTTGAAGCGCTACGCAAGCAAGAAGACGGCTCAGAAAGCAAACAAAGAGTCTCTCAGAAGAAAACTGTTTGAAGAAAATGGCCACCAGCAGCATAAGCGCAAGGAGTCTACGGTGAACGACTCAATGATTCATTATGGTCCGAATCGCCAGCAGCCAGACATGCCACCAGAGCAATATGCCGAGAAAGAACGGGCTGTTTTAGCAAGCCTGCAGGTGAATGAGAAACAGCAGATGGAAGTTGAGAAGGCTACTCGAGGACAGGCTGATAATCCTACATGGCATTTTGAAAGAAACATGCGCCTAACGGCGTCGAATTTCTATGCAGTATGCCGAAGGAGGGAGTGGACACCGTGTGACACGCTCGTGAAGACCCTGCTCTATAAAAAAAATTTCACCAGTGCCGCTCTTGAGCATGGAAGACAACAGGAGCGTGTTGCACTCTGGTTATACGAGCAAGAAATGGAAACTGCTGTGCAACCTTGCGGATTATTTGTTTACCCAGAGTACGGATTCTTGGCGGCGTCGCCAGACGGATTAATTGCGAGCGACGGTATCGTGGAGGTGAAGTGCCCATTCACTTCGAAGGACATGGAGCCATCCGAGGCAGCTAAAAAGTACAATCAAAGGAGCCAAGTACACGAACCACCCAAATTGAGCTGCTCTCATAACTATTTCTACCAAGTGCAAGGCCAGCTGCATATCACTAAAAGAAGTTTCTGCCACTTCGTCGTCTGCACGTCGAAGGGCATCCACGTACAGCGGATCGAAAGAGATAATGACTTTTGGAAATTCAGAATGCTTCCACAACTAATCAGATTTTACAGAGACTGCATGTTACCTGAAATTGTAGATCCCCGTACTACGCGCAGCATGCCCATACGCAGACCACAGTGGAATGTGAAAGCAATTGAGTCACACCAGCAGTCTAAACGAGCTTCGATGAAGAACAAGGAGGCAAAGCAGAGTGGCGACTCGGACATTTTCCACAGCCTTGAGTCGTAGGACTGCTGGGCGCGTGCACTGTCAAGAAATTCACCAATTGTGACGATGCTATCTAATGGTGATTTTGAGCGCACTTTCGTGTTGGGGCAACGCCAAGTGCGTCTGTAGTTTCGGCCATCTGCAGTTGTAGCTATTTACATATTTCCACGCAAATTGCCAGTGCTCGAGCGTTACGCATACCACTTTGTGCATTGCAGGCGCCGCGAACCATGGCGAAATGCCGAGAGCCCCGTTACGACAAGCGAAGCCAGCCGCAGTGCACGTGCCAGCCCTGCACGGGCGCGAGCTACTACCGGGGGGGGGGGGGGGGGGCAGCGAGCGTGACGGAGGAAGAAGGCGAGGTTAGAGGCCAGTGGCGAGTGAGATCAGCAGACTCCGCGTTCGTTCTCTTTCGTCCTTGTTCGCTCTACTGGTTACGCCGACGACGCCAACAGGCGCCGCCGCTCAACGCAGCAGTATGTGCGTAAGAGCTTCGCTCTAAAGAACTGCACATTAGGAGAACGACCTTGTATATATCGAATGGCAGATGCAGGCTCAGATTTGACGATAGCAAAGACTCTTTCTCGAACACGCTATGAGGTAGCAATTCACTTCTTTGTGTCGGGTGTGTCATCAGCCATTCACGTGCGTTCTGCAGCGGCAATGACCGAGAGACATGACCACAGAAGCGCCAATAAACCTTTGTAAAAAGTTCGTGTGTGATATAGGATAACGGAAAATAATAATAAAACATACACCTTCATTCTCTGCTGTCACAAGTTCGCATCCGAAAATTGTGATTATATGTACTTTTGCTTTGTGCGATTTCACATTTCTCTGAATGTATGCGTTGTAGTTCTGCGGGCTTTTTTGTGTGTGTGATGTTCAGGTGTCTTTGTGGCTGTAACCAAGTGCTGCCGACGCTCGTTTCGTACTAAATAAATTGTCACAACAACGTGTATTGACTCAATCTTGCTTACTGCATGACAGCCCTTCATTGCATAGCATATACACAACACTAAGACTCGTTGCTTGAAGATATGTTAGCCGACACAGTTATTTGAATTGACCAATCATGCATCCAAAAGCCTTATCCAGTGCGACAAGACCTTTTCTTCAACTCCTTTGCAACTATTGTATTTGTGTACTCATGTTTTTGCCTTGCATGCACTTTACGAACTCGAAATGGGTACGACATAGAAGTAATACAAGCAGCGGCTGTGTAGAAAGATGCATGGGAGATGCACTGTACCATAACTCTTCCCCTCCCTTGTTGCACTCCTGGGAGGTTTGTGTGAATCCGCCCCAGTTTTTATCATGAGATGTTTATAGAGCTTGAGGTAACGGCCTCGAATCTACAAGCTTGCAGTCAATAACTGATTTGGGCGAAACGATCACTCTTCATGTTATTGCCACGACCTTTACAGGAAAAAAAAAGATGTTGAAATAGCGTACGCGAATAGAGAAGTCGTTCCTTGGACAAGGGAATAACGCACCTGGACCATTCAGGCCACGCATGTGGGAGTCTCGCTCATATGACACACAAGAGGTAATTGCTTCATTTTCGTCATAAACATAGTTTGTCGACTAGTCCGATGGTTTGCGTACGGCAACGTGATAAATAAACGCTGCATCAACCAAAACATGAATTCATACTAGCCTGCTGAAGTTTCAATTCTAATGAAATAAATTACGCTACGTATAGTGGGGAAAACTAATGATTATGCAGTCGGCACGTGTTGGGCACCGTGAGTCACAGCGGCCGCACTTCTTAGCACGCGATTTGCCTAACTACCCGTTTTTTTGTTATTTTTGAAAATTTGGAAGCTTAGGTCATACTGGGAAGGAAGTATACATAGTCAAATATAATTTGCCTTCTCCTGTCCCACCGAACCACATCACGCTCCAGCAACCCCAATTATTTGTAGAACGAACTGTTCCGTTGAACCTCGCATGAATACTCATAGTCCAAGTTTTGATCTCCATTGTATACATTGTTGTGACCTCCGCGATAGAGTTTTTCACTCAACCCCGCATTCCGGCACTGTATGGAACGTAGAACAGCTGGCCAAGCAGGCTAGGCAGCCTACATGAGGGATCTCTTGAAAAGCAGCGACCGCAGGGGTCAGGGGCTAGTGAGCATGTAGAGAGATGGAGGTGTCGGTGAAGGGGAGAAAAAAAAAAGCCCCTGCTCAGTGCCTCATTTCTTCGAACCGTGTCAGCGCGATTTGCACCCCCTCGTCATGCAGTGTGGCGCGCCGGCACACGTGTGGCAGTTCACCTCCGAAATGTTGGCTTTCCAGTCCTGACTTGGTGGCGCCGTCTGGTATTTTTTCCAGAACTACTCGCAATATGGCGACAGTAGAACCGCCACCTTAAGTTACTACAAGTTTACAGGAGAAATAAATATTGTTAACTTCATTTACAGAGTTCAAGTACCACTGACTGGCAGAATGAGGTGTACGAGAAGAAGCGGTTGAACCTCCAAGGCACAAAGAAGAAGGGGTGTGCAGCAACAATAAATTTGAAGTGGATTGTGTTGTACCCAGATTTCCAGGTATGTAATGTGCAATGACAAGTAAAAATAATTCCAGATTAATTTCTGGGGACCTTTATCATGTCATTTATGATTGTGCAATCCGACACAACACAGTTGCTTGAAGATCATTATGGTTTCAAGTAGCGCAACAAGATGAGGGCAAAGTCAAGATGAGACAGAAAACAGCGCACTATATTTCCACCATTGCCAGTATGTATATACGTGGGAAATAGCAAGATAAACAGAGTGTGAAAGATAAAATGAGCTGCAGGAGGCACTTGACGCAGAGCAGCAGACTGTGGCCAAAGAGACGCGGGTATATGTTAGGATTGCCGACTGCAGCTCCCATCAAAACCATGGTTTCGAGGGCATGGAAGCTTTCAGCCAAAACATGGACAAGAGCCTTGCTGAGTGAATTCAGATGTTGGCAAGAGAAGGCATTACTTCTGTATCAGATGTGAAAAAGTGCCTTCACTATTATGTGCACGACGTACTTTTTGCGAACAAGGGAAAGCCTGATAGCAGCTGCAGGGCCTTTTTCCCAACACATCGTGACATCAGCAACCAGATACAAGCTGTGCTTAAGAAAGACCGCTTCAGCACAGTTGATCAAGAGAATGCTAGAATCCTAATTGAAAAGATCAGGGGTGAGCAACCCGAATCCTCCGTTGTCTATCGGCCGTCTGCAGCACGCAGCTTCGTGGGTAGCAGAGACTCGGACAACGTGGAAGAGGGCGTTGCCAGCGAGTGTGAAGACACGTTGCTGTTTTTCTTCCAAACAAATTCATGAGGAGCATGCTTAAAAAGTACGGAGGCTCAGTAGTTTGCCTGGATGCAACGCACAAGACGAGTGACTATGCCCTACCACTTTTCTTGCTTGTCATGAAAACACCGTCGGGATACACACCAGCTGGTGTGTTTATCATACAGTTCGAGACGGCCCACTGTATCGCTGAGGCTTTAGACGTTTTCAAGCAGTGGTGTGACAACTGGTCCCCACAATACTGGATGGTGGATTATAGCAAGGCAGAAATAAGTGCCATCAAGCAAGTGTTTCCAGAGAGTCAAATCTCCATCTGTGACTTCCATAGACTACAGGCATGGCAGAGGTGGCTGCGCAGAAAGGAAAACAACATATCAGATCCAGGTGAGGCCCTGAGACTTATGAAACATGTAGCCAGTGCTTCAAATCAGCATGACTTTGACAAGGAGGTTGAAGTCCTTGTTGACTCTGAGTATTGGAAAAACGAAAGATTCCGCAGTTACTTTGAAGAAGTGTGGCTGTCAGTAAAGGAGCTGTGGGTCATGTCTTACAGGCTGGAGTTTGACGTTGTGTTGACCACAAATAACGGCATTGAGGCCCAAAACTGCGTGTTGAAGGCACAGTACGTGAAAAGTTCCAGCGGGAAACGGTCGTTAACATCCCTGATCATGACTGTCGTTCATGGCTACCTTCCCGACAAAAAAGCGAAATTCCGTGAGGCAGCAAGGAGGCAGTCATCAGCGTACGACAGTACAGTGAAAATTTTCCTGCATACCTGCACAACCGGCCTCATGGGTTCGTTAAGCATATGCTGAGACGGCTCGTTAACGCAGAGGAATACACCCCCACAGACATGGAAGAGCTCCCCGTTGAAGTTGTGTTTACGGTTCATTCTGAAAGAAGTGATGATGATCTGTACACTGTCGACTTCACCAAGCCATCGTGTACCTGCCCTGATTTCAGGAGCACAAGTACCCATGCAAGCACTTTTGTGTTGTTTTTAAGTACAGCAACAGATGAGGATTTTCCTCTCTTCCACAGAGTTACCTCAATCGACCACAAATTACTCTTGGAAGCTGTCCAGAATCCGAAACAAGTTCCGAAATTCCCCTTGTCAATCAGCCCAGCCCTTCTGAAGTGTCTTCACAGGATCTTGGTACAGCAGTATCAGAGTCAGACATTCCCTTTGTCAATGAGACCAGCTTTTGTGAAGTGCCTGTACAGCCTGGGGTTACTATGCTTCCTGGGACAGCAGCCCTCTCAGTGTCGGAGCTACACAAAAGTATAACCGAGGAATTGGAAAAGTGCAGTTCCCTCCTTTACTGCTGCCATGACGTTCAAACACTGGTGGAGGCCAGGGGCTTATTGCAAGCCACCTTCCGTAAGCTGGCTGAATTTGTGCCACAGAGTTCTGGCCTTCACATTCGGGGCTCACCGACAAAAGGATGATCGTCTCTGAAGGCTCTTCCGAAAAGAAGACACCTATAGTGTGCTGTCACTCTGCCATTGACTGGAGCTTTGACTGCTAGGAAAGGATCGGGTGATTTTTTTTCATTCTTTTCAAAAAAATTGCAATTGTTGCAAAACTCAATTTATTTTACCATTCATAACTTTGGCCTAAACACAGTGTTTGGACTTCTTTGTGAATAATTTTTAGAATGTTTAGAGCTTCTAAGATTATTATGGTATGTTTTACACTAGACTTCATAATAGTCATGCAATTGTGACATTGGCAACGACTGTGTATGTGTATAAATGCAGCCGTAATTTTTTGTGTTGCGGATACTCTCAATTCAGAGAGTGTGTGAAAATATGTTTTTAGGCTTCTGTTATCAATCTATGTGTATAAAACTGTTTGTAAAGTTGCATTCTTTCTGTACTTGCTACGGACGTGCTTGCTTTTATAGTTTCCTTTTGACATTTTAATATAGTATCTGTTGTATGTGAAAGCATGTTAGTACATTTTTTTGGGTGGTCATTTCAAGATGTATTCATAGCGTGCTTGTAATATCCATTGACTGTAAATAAACCAAATGTGAGAGAATGCGTAATGTGCACAAAAAGTTTACTGTGAAAATGTGAAGTATGGTTACCTACACAGCAGAGCCATTTCATCAAGACTGCAGCAACAGCTGTGACCGGTTGATGTAGAGGCTGGGCAAACAAACTGGCCTTTTTTCTAGGGCGACTATGAGAACTACCCCCCCCCCCCCCCCCCCAGTAAAACGCTTTAGGTATACATATTGATACTGCAAAGGAAAGTTTGACATCCACCTAAATGTGGATGTCAAACTTTCCTTTGCAGAATCTTACTCCACCTTGGGGGTTTCCCCTAAATCTGGTCCATATTGATACTACTGACTTGGGCGAGCTGCTTAATTATTCAATCTGAAAACTTTTTAAATTGCACCATATGGGAATGGGGATATAAAAAGGGGTTGCATAAGGAACACGAATGCACAAGAAAATATTACCGGAAGGTGATCGTCTCAACTTAGCATTTATCAGCTAGTATTTTTGAACTAAAGTCTTTAACATGTACATTTAGTATCGTGAAACTAGAAATAGTCAACGTAGAGCTGCCTAGTTTTTGCCTGTCATGTATCCAAAACATGCAACCCAATGTATGGTGCATACTACACAGCCTTTCCATGCAAAGGAGGGAAGCCTCATAAACCCTCTTCTTTGTGCCTTGGAGGTTTGTTCACTTTTTCCGTACACTCCTTCGGCCAATCAGCGGTACTTGCATGCTGTAAATGAAATAAAGAATATTTATTTCTGGTGTTTTTGCATGTTAACAGACACACAGGTCGGCTTTGATAAGTGCAAAAAAAAAACAAGCCCATGTTTTTATAGTTCACACCAGGGATGTAGCCATGATTTTCTTTCACTCGCAACTACTGATGGGGGGAAGGCATGGCAAAACGTCAAAGGTGGGGAGGAGGTAGAAGAGGTCCCAGCAAAACTGAACATTTCGGTGTGCAGCAACCCCCGGCTATGTGTCTCGTTCACAGTCATAATGCTCTTGGACTTTTCCTAAATGTATGCATTGGCTAGAAATACCCTAAGGGCCCCAAAAGGGGCATATGTATAAGGGAAAATACGTTAAATACAGCTGCCGCAAAGTATGCACCTTACACTGCCAGCACACAATCTTTGAACTGGAAGGCTACTGCATATCTGAATGAGATTGAAACGTTTGCAAGTGCATAACGATGTAACATATTTAGTCTTCTTTTTTTCCTGTGTCTTCTGCTAGTATTTCATTCCAGATATGCATACTTTGACAGTTCCCTTGACAACTGGAAACGGCACATTGTCCAGAGGGATTCGAGATCCGCAGTGCATCACGGAGAAGACGACATTGGCTGAAAATAAACAATAAAGAGGATTTAATGAAGACACCTAGTTTTATGCATGGCAGAGGGCAATATCAAATCTCGTTTTAGTTTTTGTGTAATGGCAGCAAAAGAACTTTAAGATGCGCTGCCTCTGGCAAGAAATTCTGGCTGGCTTTCGTCAACCAGAATAATAAATATAATTATCATTATTATTAATAAATACCCAGACTTTTTTCGTATGGCGTTTAAGTTACAGCTTACAAGCAGCACCAACACGTTACAGTTTGGTTGGGCCTTCGGTTTTTAATACAACACTACAAAAAAGCTTCACGCTGACGCTTCAGCTTCTCATGTGAGTTCAACATCGGGCCTGCCTCGCTCTAACGTGTAATTCACACTTTTAGCAGGACCAGGGATGGCACATACGGATGTGTCACGAATAACCCAACCACAATTCGTGTCTGGTGTTGCGCACGATTGCTTTTTTTGGTGTTGAAAATAACATAAATGTTAATTCTGAAACGCACAAACGGAAACAAAATAAACGCCCTAGCGCAGCTCTGCCTTGAATTCAAGGCAATTATCTAAAGAGCACAGGAGCAGAATAGATAAGGTATGTGACCCTATGAAAGACCTTTAACTTTTTTTTAAGTCATGATTAGCTTGCATGTGCTGTTCTAATCATGACTGGAGCCAGAAACTAAAACAGTTCACTTCCAATAACGTTTCTTAAAACTTCTGAATATCGGGTCATGTCCCGGATCCGGTACTCCACTCAAACCGAAATGAATCGGTGCCAGGGAAACTGAACTGGCAACCAGAACAATAATAGCGCGACCTTCAAAAAGGCGAAAATCAATCAATTGTCTAGTGTTGCACTAACCACAACTGCAAACAAGCCTGTCCTGCCCTGTTGAGTCCCTTCATCTACGTGTTTCATTGCTAAATCTACGTGCAGAGCAAAACATTAAGAAGCAATCGAGACATTCTTACATTTAGGTCTTTTGATGTCCACGCAGCATACCTCCCGTTCACAACAGCCAAGTACCTCTCAACAGCTTAATATTCAACAGCTTAATATGACAAGACAGCGCACGCCGCCACAGAACAGGGAGACGCCACGCACAGCTTACTGCCACAGAACAGCACACAGCGAACCAAGTCTAGGTGGTGTTGAGCGAACGCGCTGCCAAACAGAGAGGGAGGGAGAGAGAGAGAAAAAACGGAAATGGTGGCTACGTCATCGCGGCGAGGCCCCGCCCTGCACGGATTTGTTGTGAGAACAGTTGCACCCGATCTGGCGCTACCTCACGTGACTTTCGCGTACAATTCTTCGCGCCACGACACCACTGGTTATTAACCCTTTTATTTGCTCTATGGCCGTGATCCGACGTTACCACTCGACACCCTACTTCCAACCACTACAACGCCGTCGACCGAATATGCACGCGAGGCTATTGCTCGTGCCGACCACGCACGCCAAATCGTCCGCTCTAGAGTTTCGGTTTCGAAAGCCACCCAGAAAGCCATCTACGACAGCCGGCATGTTGCCGTTCGCTTCTCACCCGGTTCTCTCGTCCTCCTGTGGTGCCCAGTTCGTCGAGTTGGCTTATCAGAGAAGTTGTTGTCTCGCTTAATGGGTCCTTACCGTATCCTCCGCCAGGTAACCGACGTCACCTATGATATAATTCCTGCATCTGAGACCACAAGCCTGCCTGCAACCACACCCAGTAATGTTGTGCACGTCAGCAGGCTAAAACCTTACCAGCTGCCTACTGAAGACCGGAAGTGATATGCACCGAGACGGCGCTTTTACCACCGGGGGGTGGGGGAGTTAATGCTACGTAGCTGACATATCAGCGGTCAGAAGTCGACAACGAGGAAGTGGTCGGTGGGTTATCATAGTCGATGCTATACGCATCAGTGTGAATATAGATTCTCAATAGACGTGTCCCGTGTCAATTTTACGTAACAATATATATATATATATATATATATATTATATATATATATATATATATATATATATATTAATATATATATATATATATATATATATGAAATGTAACAGACAATAACGCGAAAGAAAGTACCATCATCATCAGCCTGACTACGTGCACTGAAGGAGAAAGACCTCTCCGATGTTCCGCCAGTCAACCCGGTCCTGTGCTTGCTACTGCCAATTTATACCCGCAAACTTCTTAATCTCATCTGCCCACTGTCACACACAGGTCCCGTTAATTAGGGAGGTGATCGCCGGGCTAATTCCAAGGGCCGAATTATCGGCCCCCCGAACCGCACCACGAAAGCGTGGACAATTTAGAAGTGGTCCTTTTTGGCGCGCCAGCAGGCGCCGGCTGTGGCCCAAAGAACAAGTCAGAGCCGAGAGTTGATAAACAAATAAATTATATTCTCAATAACGGCAGATCGAAAGCAATACACAAAAATGCACACTCCACAATAGTTGCATACAA